CACCATAGTAAACCCATCAACTTGAGAAGAAATGGAGACGAGAAGCAACAAGGCCTTCTTCCTTGGAGCAATGCTGCTCCTGGCTTTCACACTGCTCCAAACATCGGAAGGCCAGAGCATATGCAACATTCCACTTTCGAGTTTGATGGCATGCCGGCCAGCCGTGACACCACCCAACCCTCCGGCGCCCACTGCCACATGTTGCTCCGCCCTCACCAAGGCAAACTTGTCATGCCTTTGCTCCTACAAGAACTCCAAGCTCTTGCCTCAACTTGGCATCGACCCAAACCTTGCAGTTCAGCTTCCTGCTAAGTGCAAGCTGCCCAATGCGCCAACTTGCTAAACCTATAGTACTTAATTTAAGTGTAAGAGGGTAGTGTGCTTTCATTCTCTGCGTATGTGTGTGTTTGCTTTCCTTTGCATAATTGTGGAGTGAGGTTGGCAGTGTCGTTTTGTCGTTACTTTCCCAGCAGAAATAAAAGAGAAGTTAAAGAAAATGAAATATCTATTTTATTCATATGCAATTACTGAAAAAAAGACATAGAATTGAATCTTGTTATAGTAAAAAAAAATTTGAGTTTCGTGTTTTAAGTAGATCGTACATATATTTAAAGTAAATCTCAAACACTAAAATTACTACAATACTATTAATGAATGAATATAGGAAAGAGTTTCATTGAGAGCAATTTAGAAATTTTACCGTCAAAATATAATTTAAGCTGAAAAACAATTTCTTTTGTTAAATCTTTGTCTGCAAATTAAGTGCTTCACTTTTTTCAAATAAAAAAATTTGGTATCTGTTGAAGCTTGAGATTTGAGGAAGAAGCCTTTGCTTTCTATTGGTGCTACATTTCGATGTATGTTACAGTAGATATGATAGAGGAAAAAGAATACCGGGATAGATTGCCTCTCAAAAATTTCCACAATTTGGAACCAAACTCTTTTACACAATTTAGCTGCTGCAGATTGAGAAGACTATTTGAGATTTTGGATCAAGAATCAAATGTTGCTTCAAGCATCTGTGGTCGGATTCTTCATATCAGGTGACTTGCTGCTGTGACTCCAAAGGTCTTTCAGCTCACCCCTCACCAAACCTAATACGACCGCAACTCCTAGAAACAAAGACATGGAAATTTGATGTCATTTTAATATGATAAGTGCTACTATGATTTGGACAATGCCATTTTTCACAAACCAAACAACTTAGTAGTCTGCCAATGCAGACTCCCACACTTGATTACCTAATGTACAAGGAACAAGATAGAGGAGTGCAGGCTGACCATGCCCATCCATTAGATATAAACCTAGGTATGTGAAACAGAGGCCTGCAATGGAAGGAAAGACCGTCCATCAAGATTAGAAGTAGAGCACTTTAAAAAACAGAAGCTAGAGATAAAGCAGTAAGTCTCCAAGCACCAAGCCTTAACAGTTGAAGGCAAAATACCAAAAAAGTGGATGTTTTCTAGGTTTCAAAATGCTAGAAAAATAGTTGGAGGTTTGCATACATCAAGATGTGCCAATAAACAAAGGCTGTGAATCTGTGATTAATAAAAAGTTCCTAACAGAAACACACTCACCAAGTCCATAGCCAGTTATCAACCAAAGAAAATATCCACTTGCAAGAGTCTTCTTTTTTTCTTTATCAAATCTGAGACAAGCAAACATGGAAAACAAAGATAAACACATATATTGGAAACGGTAAAACCTTGCAAAAAGGAAAATGGAAATAAACACAAGTAAGTTTGGCACTAGTGACCAACTAATTTGATCTGCTAAATGAATCCAGTTTCAGTATTTCACATTTCAGTAATACAACTTAAAAATGCCATTAGTATGGCTTTAATGGGATTTGAATCTTTAGTTTGCAAGCTAATCCTAGCATAAAATGTCACTGGCACATAACAAAATTCAAAGAAAAAGTCAAGACAAGTCAAAATGCCCTCAAGATTATCCAAGAGAATAGCATCAAGGAAACTAAGAAACAAAGTCTATTGTTTACCACAATGATGACATAGATCTCCTATGTAATGCCCTTCTTTCTTAGGAAGAGTGCCAAAAATGGAGTTTGAGTAAATAAACCAAGTTGTACCTGAAAGCAAATGTTATAAGCAAACCAGGAAAGAGAACGTCTCCAAATCCGACCATATTATTGCCACCCCAAGGGTCAAAAATTCTTGGGACTCTCAAGAGCATGGGAATAGATTCTCCACCACTATTGTCACCTCGAGCAACCTATGAAACAAGGAAAACAATGAAGATAGGTCATTATATTACTTTACAAAGTATCCCAGTGGGGAGAGAGCTAAATCAGTAAAAACTTACTGCAATCATCACACTCTGATGGAATATTAAAGGTGACAAGAAGACCCAGAAGATGTCGTAAACAAATGCGCAACAAAGAAGTACTGTGGCAACCTGAGTTATTATAAAGACTGTCAAGGAAGAGATATGAAACTGGATATATCAATACATCAATACATAAAGACTAAATTAAGTTACCATGATGTTTGGTAGTCGAGCCATCTGCAACACTGTTATCATCAAACAGATGCCCTGTAACCAAAAACAATCTATGTATTAACAACAGTAGGAATCTGAACAATGTATCAATGAATGAACTTAAAGAGAATACCCAAGAAAATGACAGAAGAAATTGTATGGGTAGTAGCAGCAATTTAAATTAATGAACCCTTGTTAGACAAGCAGCAGAAACAGTAGCTCTATTAAACCTCGAAGATTCAAACTAAAAATATATAACTAGAGGTAAAGGTCAAAAAGAAAAAAATAACATTATAAGCAAACAGAAAGGTTTAGGATATAGACTTGCATGTAGTCAAGATAGACAACTCATGAGTATTACCAAACTTCACATGCATGGTGCCAGCAATTTCCAAAATGTCAAAGAAATAGTCTAGAAGGTAAGTAGAGGTATGCAAGACTTACAAGAATATCTTGGCCAATCCATGAATATGATGCTTGTCGTTCTACAGCCCAGATAATGGCAAATAACAGACAGAGTAATGCAACTACAATTGAGACAACAGAAACCTCCCCGAAGACAGGCAAATTCAACATCTTCTGTGAACAGTTTCTGCATGTTCTGCTTACATGCGTATACATGGAACAGTAAATAGGCAGCTACTTCATAGATTTAGAAGCAAGAAAGGTAAATTTCAACCATACCTTGATACAAGCATCATTATACAGTTATGCATCCCCTGAAAACAAGTAATTCAATACATAAGCATTAGTTTGAGAGATTTTTTTTTTTTTTTTGGAGTATGCTGCTTCAACTCTGCATATTAGTGATTATTTGGAAAACTTATATTAGAATATGATATAGTTGAAGCTTCAACTCTTCACCTGCTTCAATTCATAGTATGGTGAACAAAATGCAGGCGCAGAGAGCTACTTCCTTCGATAGTAGAATGTAGAAATGAAGTCAAATTATGTTCAAAGAATACAGTAGCAGCCTAAGTACATACTCTATACTGGAAATTGCTAGGCAAGGTTAAGAACAAAATGGTAAGGTCTATAGATTATTTTGTTGTTCCAAAAACGTGAGACATCTATATATATTCTGTGATAACATATGAATGTCGAGCAAATTAGCGCCATGCATGCCTTAAAAATGTCCATTTGGATCCTAATAAATCATCCATAATCCAGAATCATGTTACCTGAACACCACCTAGACAGAAGAGGACGATAAGAACCCAGACAAACCAACTTGACATGAAAAAAAAGAGTAGCACCAGCATAGTTGATGCTAGTAAGACAAAGAATATAGCACCCTTAGCTGTAATATCAAGGACTTCCTGGTCAGAATCATCTTTGGCTGTTCCAGTACCAGAAGAGTGCTAGCCAATAAAAGGAGACAAACTTCACAATCAGGCACATCATATAATTATCAATGAATCAGATAAGAGAAACGTTGACATAGAGGATTTAATGTAGTAGACCTTTGGTGATAATTCATTGTGGTTAGACGGCTCAGAACCACCAAACTCTTGAGAAAGTGAGGCAGTGAGTATTGTTCCAACAGCCATTAGCCACAAAAATACTACCCCGCCATCAACAATTGGACTTTTTGGTGCATACAACAAAATTTCCACTGTATTAGAGGAATTAACATAATTAGGCATGCATAAATCAGGAAATGAAAATAAAACCAAGTAGCATGTAATAGGTTCTGGTAGTTTAAGTGCATTTGATCCTGCATCACTCATACTCAATATCCAGAATACAAACATGAGATCCTCACTTCTCTTAAAGATGTCAACAGTCTAACAAATATCATAAATTCGTAGAGTGACAATGATCAAGAGAAAACAATAATAAATACAAACAATAGCTCAAAAGCCTACCATGTTTCTCCATTACAGATTTAAGTACATCTCCTGCCGACTTTGGAATCATCACAGTAGGAATTGAAATAATCAGAGAGGTATTATTATATGAACAAGCCATCTTGTCAAGTTCTATGAAATTAAAGAAAACAGGAATTTGATCAGAGAGTTGCACAATCAGTTGCCAGAAATTAATGAATATTGCAAAGACAAGGAACCAATTCAAAACACTACCAACAAATTACAACCTTCTTTGTCATTGATCACCAGCAAGGCTTTAGCACCTCCTAACTGGGCAACTTCTGCTTTAGTTGTGAATGTACAACCACCACGCTCTGACAAAGCCACAGAGCCAGACAGCTGTAGAGCAGCAGAGTTTCACTCTTACTCTTCAAATTTAGATTGCATTTAGATGCATCGATGTTTACAACTATGATGTTTCATTTACCAAATAATCTTTATTAAATCAACTTTGTAAACTCTTGGGGTTGTGCTAAATTTTGAAAGTTTAGGAGGGCATCCTTCATAAGTTAACAACATTTGGATAAACTTACACACAAGACAACAGCCAATCTCTTGATAAGTAGATGAGAGTCATGAGACAACACTAAAAAAAAAAATAATAATAATAATAATAATAAAACCTTTGCAGATGAATTAGAACAGCAGTTTAACGGATTCGAAAGAACAGCAGGAAATCTTAGACTTTTGTCAGCATGAGCAGGCGGTATTGCCCCAAATCTTGCAGTTAACCCAACTATATCTTTGTCTTCAACACCATCAATCCAGTTCTTGACCTTGACCTGAAAATAAACAATTAAATCGCTTTTTTTTTATCAATGTAAAAATGCAAATATATATCCTAAAAATGATAATATATACTGTCATCAGATATAGCATGAAATCATTTCAGGTCTAAACTCCATTGACGATACTGTAAAGAATCAAAAATGAAATGAAAAACACAAATAGCTGCAGTGATTTGAAAATAGAATTACAAATTCATAAGAATGGTTGCAGAACTCTCGTTCAGGGTCATCCGCCGATGCAAATGAGAGAGATATGAGGAAGAAGAGGAGAGCCAGCGTAGAGCGACGCCGCAAAGGAAACGACATTGCCGGAGGTAAAGAAAGAAAGAAAGAAAGAGAAAGACAAGCGCGCAGATGAGAAATATGGTTATGGCTTTATGGTCTTCCCCTCCCTCTGGTGGGAAGGAAGAATATTGTTTAGTTATATTTATTTGGCGCAAAAACCGTTGTTTTCCAAGGTGGAAGAGGCAAAGAGTTAATATAAACCGTTACAATGTTTATTTAATTTTAGAAATGCAATAATAGGAACAGGGAAAGCCCCTGCACCTCTCTTCCTTTGCATGGGAAAGGAGTGCTTTCCACCTTCGGCTACAACCACCTTGGGTGCATGAGTTGGAGTAACCCTTCCAATTTAATCAGAATTTTTGGTTTTAAGTTTTGAAAATGCAATTTTGTTAAAATTTTGTGAAGAAAAATTTGTTGTCCGTTAGGTATTGTTCAACTTGAATCTGGATTAGTCGGTGGCTTAATGAGTTTTGGAATACTGGATGATCCATAAAATAACAAAAAAAAATCACCAGAATCATGTTGTATATAGCCGTTTTGATTTTGGATTGTATGGTAAAGTGAGTATTTTTTTAGGTAAAATACCTAAATCCACCTCCAAAATAGTGACAGGGACGGATCTATTTTCGAACAAAAAATGGAGACAAATCCATCCACAAAGTTTTTGACTTGGATAAATCACTCTAAATTTAACGTCTGACGTCATTTGACATTAGCAATTCGTTAACGGATTGCTGACATCAGATGATGTCAAATTAATGATTGCTGATGTCAAATGACGTGACACGTTAAATTTGAAGTGATTTATCCAAATTAAAAACTTTGGGAGTAAATTTGTCTCTGTTTTTTGTTTGATAGTGGATCCGTCCTTACCCTACTTTAAGGGTGGATTTAGGTATTCTGTCATTTTCTTATCCTTTGTTACATCTCATACATTTGTTTGTGTAGAACTACTCTCTTTAGAAATAAATTGGAATATTATATTTATAATATTACATAAAATTATAAATTTATAATTATAACATAATATTAAATTAGTATGATATGATATTAAATAATTATATTTATACAATATTATTATAGTGGAATCTTTATTAAAAATAATTAATTATATAAATAATATATTATATTATAAAATTATAATATTATATGATATTATAATTTTAATATTTTTAAATTGTAAAAAAATTATTATTGAGCTGCATAGATATATATTTATATATAGTTAGTCATTGCATTGCAAGATTTACAAATATTTATATGTGTAGAGAACTTAAAAAGCCATAGGAGTGGGAATAAATGGCCATTCCAACTTTATTTTGTCACACTAAACCTGGAAATTTGTAGCATGGGGATTAATGTTCATTTCCCTTCCTACAGAGTACAGACCCACTCTCACCAAATGCCACGACAACATTAATTTGAAGAATAAAGTTATGGGTTTGAGTCATAATCACACTTGACTGTGATAAGGAAAGATTTATTTGCCTCTTGCCTTTTTGTGCCTTGGGAGATGCTTATTGTACTCGGCATTTTGTTTTGTGTACAAACACTCACCCACTTAATTGGTGTAGAATAAATTTATTTAATTTTTCTTTTTAGTTTATATAATAAAAAGTAATTCTTTTATTTGTTAATACAGTTTATTATTATTATTTTTTGAACAATAATAATTTAAGAGAAAAATAAAAAAATGATCTCAACTCATGAGTTAAAAGAAACACTTATAACTCATAGAGCAAATGTAAATATTCAAATAACTAATGAGATTTGAGTTTTTAACCAACTTAACCTAGATATTAAAATTTAAAGACAAATCATTAAATTCGAATGATCAATTAATTAATTCACTTTATCTATTCAATATGAGACATAATCTCAAAAATTTTTATTTTCATGTTAAAGAAATTACCACTAACCTATTTCGCATTTATTGATTTGGTTAATGTTACTTCACCTTCAGTATAGAGTGCAGGGTAATACATTTCCCTTATATATCATTTATGATTGGAGTTAGAGATTAGAGTTAGAATTATAATATTTTTCATCCATTGATAATGTGGGTGACTATATAATGAATGGCCACAAAAAATTCGAACCACTTTCATGTCCAAAAATTTTGTTCCCCTTATCATTTATGAATTTATTTATTCTTATCTACATTACTAATTAGGTTTATATGTCTATCAAACCACTAGACTATGTTCCCCTAAAAGGCTAAAAGAAAAAGAAAAAGCACCATATTTATTATATTTTGAATAAAATCCCTGGATTAAAGTTAACATAAAAGAAAATAAGTCCTCACTTCAATACAAGTTTAGACTCTTAACTTCAAATAACATAATTTTATTTAATTAAAATTTATTTTTAATTTTATTTTTCCTAATGTAATAATTTTTCTTAATTTTTTCTATGTAGGATATACTTAAAAACTATTTTATTAATATTTTTATATAATATTAAAAATTAAATTTTTATACAATATTTTTTTAATCTTAATTACACAATAAAAAATAATTACCTCACATTTTTTACCTCACTTAACTCACATATCATACTATTTAAATTTAAAATCTCTCATTTTTAATGAAAGAATATGAGTAGCAAATTATCTAGCTGGTTAGCTTTATACCATAACTTTTTAATTATTTTTTAATAAAAAATTTTCAAACTATAACTACTTTCCTAATAAAATTAAGTGAAATTTATTTTCTTATCAACTCATTAACAATATTTTAATAATAATTTTGATACCCAAAGTCCACTTTATTCAGTGCGAACTCAAAACCATTGTTCCAAACTGCCAAGGAACTGTGAAGGTGAGAACTTTGGAAACGAAACAAGGGGCGTTGAAAGTGGTTTATGTATATTTACTTATTATTCTTGTTGACAACCAGCCAAAGTCTATTCCCCCAAACCCAATGGCTCCGGCAATGAAGATCGTCTTCGGACTCTTGACGTTAGTCACCGTCGGTATGATCATCGGTAAGCCGCCGTCTTTTCGATCCGTCCAACCAACCAACCAACCAAAACCTTCAATTTCATATTGATTCATTCATGCTTTTCTCCAATTCATTCTTCTTTTGATGCTTGAATTCTTTTTTTAGTCTTCCAATGATGTAGTAGCAGTAGTTGTTGTTGAAACTTGATTCTGTTTGTGTAAAAGTAGAAATTTTGTTGACTTGATTTTGACTTTCAATCTACTTCCAAATTTTATGCCACCAGTATTCATGCTTTGTTCTCAGTTTTCTTGCATCTCCATGACCATAATTGCTACAAGGTTCCAGTTTGATTCCATCCTTAATTACCCGATCTCCAAAATTAAGCTTCCTTTATTACACCAAAACTTAATATTGGCTCATTTAATTAAACCAGCTTGAGATTACCTCAACCATCTCTAATTAAATACTTTGTGAAATTCAGGTGCTTTGTTTCAGTTAGCATTTATTCGGAGATTGGAGGATTCGTATGGTACGACTAAAATTCAACACTTTGTAGATATTCTTGCTATCATTTTGTTTAGTTTCTCATTTAATTATTTATTATTTTTCTAAGAGTGTTTTAAGAATCATCTTCTTTTCAGGCAGTGCAATTCCATCTGGAAAAGTGCTTAGAAGTTGGGATGATGGATACCTTAAGCTGCCAAGAGGTAACTGTGGTTTGTGTTGGTGGTTAGGGAATGAATATTCCTCATTGTTTATTATTCATATTTCGAAAACCTTGTTGAATTTAACTCAATGTATCATGGAAACACCTTATTAACTTGGCACATGATAAATGCTTTTAAATGTGGAACAACATATCCTGAGTTTACTCTTCTGTTATTGTTTTTCAATCTGCAATTTGAATAACATATATCCTTACTGGCTTTGTTGGCCATAATCGATCTCTCTACCATAATATTTTTTCTTTTCTACTTTTCAGGTTTAAGTCATTTGCATGGTGACCAAGAAGCAGAAGTTTTGCGTCTTGGATATGTATGTTTCCAATTTTGATTTGATACTGAGACAAATGGATCAGAGTTTTGAATGAAAATAAAATAAGACATGTATATTTGCCTGGCTGAACCCCTCATTTGCACCCAATACATTTTTTTCTTTCCGCAGTCAACACCCTAAATTAATTTTCGTCCTGGTCAACACCCTCCATTATTTAAAACCTGTAAAAAATTTCAAATTACCAACAAAATCATGGTGCAAATAGGGGTTTGACCACATAATCAAGGTGCAAATCGAGGGTTTGACCATAAATTTTTGGGTTTCTCACGGGTTTTGAATAGTGGAGGGTGTTGACCGTGGAAAGAAAAAATGTGTAGGGTGTAAATAGGGGCTTTGGCCTATTTGCCTCTATGCTGTTTTTTAAAATTGTCTTTGTGTTTGTATATAAGTGGAATATATTCAGAGGACGGTTCCTATTATATATTTCTATTTCCTTCTTTCAAAAGATACAAAGGTTGATTTTTCTTTTTTGTTGTGATTATATAGGTAAAACCTGAAGTAATTAGCTGGTCCCCTCGAATCATCGTGCTTCATAGTTTTCTAAGCATGCAGGTGTGCAGATACTTTATACATTATTGTACATAATGGCTACTAGGTGTGAGTATCATAGAACCAAATGCACGGGGAATGGCTTGCCAATGGTGTCCTTATGTTTTCTTTCCTTGAGGATATTTCTCCTCCCCTTTTGCATTTTTGTTCTTGTTAGTAATGGAATTTTGTGTAAGTTCTTCTGTTATAATGGTCAGTTCCAAGTTCTTGCTTTTCTTGGATTTCTATTTGCAGCTAATGTCATTTAAAAAACTCGAGTAGTCACAGAGTACCAGCAACAAATGTGAGTGGTTGGATCAGGACTTTTGTATCTGGTGAAGATTCCAGATATGGAATAAATTAATAACTTTTGGCTGCAAGTTGTCCTGTATCTTTCACAACTCAAAAGGGCTATGAAAATAGATTGGATCAACTGTTGACTTTCTTAAAAGCACTGCATTTTCCAAGATATCAAGCTGTTAGTATTGAATTTCGTTTTGTAATTTGTAGGAATGTGATTATCTTAGAGCGATTGCCAGCCCTCGGCTTCAGATTTCCACTGTGGTGGATACAAAAACCGGGAAGGTAAATCTGACACGTAGTTTGTCTCTAAGAAATTCAACATACATGGAGTTGGGGATTAATCTTTTATGCTTTAGATAATGAAGCTCAATTTTGAGTTTTATTTGTTGTAATCTGATGTAGGTGATAGAGGTGTGCATGCATTAGTATATTCCTCTCTGGCTTGGTTTCTGCCTTTCTTCATTTATTTCTTTTTCTAGTGGTTGCTTATGAGTTATATCTAAGAAAAAAATATAAACTATTGATCTACCTCTGAGCAGGGGATTATGAGTGATGTAAGAACAAGCTCAGGCATGTTTTTGAGTCATGAAGAGAAAAAGCATCCAACGGTACAGGTCAGTTTTGTGAAATGCTTATTTTCTGGGTTGCCTATTAAGTCTCTATGTTTCTATGCCAATATAGGTTTCATTTTGATACACAGCATTATTTGTCCTTAAACTTTGTGAAATGTTCACATGGGTCCTTTTGTTCCTTGTTCAAATTGTCCTTCATTTATGAGTTTCTGCTGAAAAAATGCTTATTTTCCGGATTGTCTATTAAGTCTTTTGGTATGTACTTTGTATACTGATAGAGGATCATTGATTTTTGTTTCATTTTGATACTGGCATTATTCTAAACTTTTTGAAATATTTTGATAGGTTCTTATTTTTCTTTGTTCAAACTGTCCTTCATTTATGAGTTTGTGCCATAAATTCTCCTTGGTTGAACTATAAGATTCAGTCATACACCAAAGAATCACTTCCATAGTTGATAGCACCTTGATATACCATACACAATCCTTGGGGTTGTGGAGACACGTTCTCCCCTCAAAATGGAAACTAGAAAGCAACTTCTGTATCAGGAAGTAAAAGATAAAAAAGGGGCAGATATCAGCTAGATTGGACTCCCTTTTTACACTTTTTATCCTGTTTTTGCCATCAATGGCCAAATTTTTTTCCATGCAATACATGTATTTACCAACCCATACCTAATAAAATGATGAAGTTAGTTTTTTCATTTAACTTTCTTACCTTATGTTTAACTTATTTCTCAGGCAATTGAAAAGCGAATTTCAGTATTTTCTCAAGTGCCAGTGGAAAATGGGGAGCTCATACAAGTTTTAAGGTGGGGGTCTGACTTAATTATCTCTTTCAATAATTGTTCTCAAGGTGGAAGACTGATATATTTATTATCAAGGCTAACATCTAATGCAGCACAGGTATGAACAGCATCAGTTTTACATGCCCCATCATGATTACTTTTCTGACAGTGTAAGTTATTTGTCGTTCTTATTGCAGCTCAGGTTTGAACATCATTAGTTTTATTCTTATATTATGGAAGAGTTTACTGATTGATTTATTCTCAACTTTGACAGTTTAACGTGAAATACGGTGGTCAGCGAATAGCAACAATGCTCATGTATTTAAGTGATGGTGTTGAAGGGGGAGAAACATATTTTCCTATGGTAATTCTTTTTCTTTCTTGGAGAAAAATTTTGTGCTGCTTTATTATATTAAAATCATGGTAATCTTCTGGTACAAACAGGCCTTTTGTTTGAGCAATGTCCTTAGGTTATGATGTAGGTGACCAGGGAGATCCTCTGGGAAATAGTACAATTCATTACTGCTTCTTTGTTATGTTACAGGAGGCCTCTGAAGTCTGCCCGTGGGGATAAATGCCTCTATCTCTTCACTCTCTCTGCCTTGTTTTTGGCTAGAAACCTTTTTGAAGTTTACCTTGCACTAAGTTTGACTTTCAATTTTAACACGGATCTTATCTTGGTTTAAACGAACTTCTCTATGATCTTTTGGGTTTTCAATGATATAAGCTTGTTGCAAGTTAGCTCTTGCAATATCTTAAATTATCATATTGGGGTTCTTTTTCTATTTTGTATAATTTTAGGAATTCAGGTTATATCCATAGCTTTTCTATTTATGCTATGATTTCATTAGGGTAAATTATGTCCTTCATTAGGAGTCCCTATTGTACCAATGAAGTACTAAAAGTACATCAAATCTGCAAAAAAATGTAAAATAAATAAAACATAAATGATTCCTCCCAGGCCTTTTCTTTATTCTCTGCTTCCTTTATTTCTTTATCAATCCTTAATTTTGGCAAAATTTATGTTCACCCTTTCACTTCATGAACTCAGGCTGGCTCAGGTGAGTGTAGCTGTGGCGGCAAGACTCTGAAAGGGTTGTCTGTAAAACCAATCAAAGGAGATGCAGTGCTTTTCTGGAGCATGGTTTGTTTCCTTTCTCTATTGACAAATTGTTCCTCATTAGGGATGCCAACAGAGCAGGGTGGGGTTCCAGAATTTATCACCTAGGCCCTATCGAGGGTCAATGACTCAATGGGATACATCCTTCCCCAATGGGAATATTTTTTTTTAACAAATACTCTGTAATTTTGCAACTAATGTTGATAAAGTTTGTATGGAGACTGAAGTAGACCCTGTAAGATCTGTCTGACTCGATTTTGTTCGCAATTTGTTAGGGACTAGATGGAGAGTCAGATCCAAAGAGCATACATGGAGGATGCGAGGTATTATCAGGGGAGAAGTGGTCAGCAACAAAGTGGATGAGGCAAAGAAATTTTTGATTGCTCGTACTTGTCTATTTCTTCAGGGACTCTAAAATGCATGCATTCCCAACCCTGGGAAAGTGCTGTAGCTGCTTGTATTATAAAATCGAATTCCATTTACTTACAATCAGTCTTATACAAAGATAGCAATGTATAGATTGGCAGTAAGCATTTTGACCATTTGATTCATAGGAATATAGCAATTGTGTTGTCCTTGCTTACCTGGTTTTCTCCAGGTTAAGCCTGTCCAACACTGTAATCACAATTTATAATCATGCAAAATAGAAATTGGTTACCATCTTTAATCTCCTCGTCTCATTACAGCCTCATTTGACTTAGCTAGAGTCCTTGTAAAGGGTCTCACATACTTGAGGTTGTGGATCACACAATTTCTTCCACAAATTAATTGTTTCTAGAACAAAAGGAGGGCTAGTCTTTTGTAGGTGGCATTAAATCATATGACGGTCATGAAAAAATTGATTTGGTAGACTTGGAAGTTTAATTGAAGGAAAATGATTGAAAATAATTTTTTGTTATAACTTTGTATATATATTTATGTAAAATTTGTATAAAAAATTTTATAAAAAAATTACATAAAAAATATTATAATTACAATTATAACATAATATTAAATTAAATTAATATAATATAATATTAAACAAATAAATATATAATATTATTAGTAAATTTGTAAATAAAAAATTTAATTATATAATGATATTATAAATTTATAATCTTACATGATATTATAAATATAATATTTTTATTTTAATACCTATCACCAAAATTTCATCAGGACTTATTTGGTTGCAAAAATTATTTTGAAGGCTAATTTGCATTTATCTTTTTTCTTTTCTTTTCTCCTTTTTATAAAAATCCTCGGGTTGTGCTGTGAGATAGTAATTGCATCTCCCACCATCAGCAGGTTATCGTCACGCGCTAGGAATCGTGGATCATCTGAATTTACAATACTAACCTTAACCCCGCCCTCCCGCCTCTTCTATCACACTGCTAGGGAAGGATAAAATCCGTAATTGTGACCTGCGCCGATAAAATAAAAAGGAATTCCGAGGGAGATCTGTTTGAAGGTTGAGCTGAAACTAAAGCCTTTTGCAGTTTGCGGTTTCCTCTTCATCCATTCAAATTCCTCCGAATTCTACTGGTGAAGCGATGGAAGGAATCGTGTCTACCAGTGACGAGCAGCGACTGGTCTCTTCTTTCCTTGAGATCGCCGTCGGCCAGACTGCCGACACTGCCAGGCAGTTTTTGCAGGTCTCTGTTTTTCCTTCTTTAGTTGATCAAAGTTTGTCTTTTTTTTGTGGACAAAAACTATAATTTTCACCCTTTTCCTTTAGTTGATCAAAGTTTGTGCCTTTTTGTTGAGAAAAGATCATAGTTTGTGCCTTTTGTAGGAAAAAAAAAAAAAAACTAAAATTTTCACTCTTTTCCTTCTTTAGTTGATCAAAGTTTGTGCCTTTTTCTTTGAAAAAAACGATTTTTTTTTTTTTTTTACTGGAGATGTGGGGTTTTAAGTATAATGTTTGATTTGATAGTTTGGTAGATAACTTTTAACTTGTTCGGATACAGGCTGGAGGAATTTTGAGTGGGTGATTGGACTGAGTAAATTTTTCCTCCACAAATTTTAATTTATATTGATTTGACCTGGGTTTTGCGGTAAATTATGAAAAAGTTTTTAGCTGCGAATTTAGTTCATCCTTTATAGTTTATACAAAGTCAGAAAGTCTAGAAACAAGCATTGTCAATGAAGTGATAATATAAGTGATAATATGCTTGTCTGGTGTCAGGTGTCCTGAGTTTTTATGCTGTTGTAAAACGAAAACTCAAAAAGTGTTTATTTATACATCTGCTTAGGTGTTTATGATCAAGATGTTTTGTGCCAACTGCTAGGGTACCGGATGTTTTGGCTGGAAAAGATTTAATCACACAATTTAGAACAAATCCTTGCATACATGTTTAGAATTTATGAATGAATTATTATCAAGAGTTTATTTGTGAGGTATTGGACGGTTTATGGAACTCAATGGTGGAGTAATTTTGGGAAACAGGCAACAAGTTGGAAACTTGAGGATGCTATTCAGCTGTTTTATGTGGGTAATGAAGGTGGGTCAACTGCATCAACTTCAGACACTCCACCAGTAGAAAGTGTGAATTCCTGGGCTGGGCAAAATTCTGGGTGTGTTGTGGTTATCATTAATTTCCACTTTTATAGTAATATTCAGTGTTGGATTTTTGTTAGTTGACTTAGAATTTTTATCTCTGGCTTCAGTGAATTGAAAGCTTCTGGGAATGATAACGTTGGACTGAATGATGGAGATGAAGTACGCCCTCCCTTGCCAGTTGTGAGAGAGACACTTTATGATGATGCAATGCATTATGGGTATGTTTGCTCCTTTTTTTTCTTATTTATATATTTATTATTATCATTATTTTCTCTTGAGTAAATGTCTCAGAAGTAGTACCATCCTTGTATGTCTTTTTTTCTTTTCTTTTTTTTCTGGAAGAGTTTAATAGGTTGGAAAGAATTGTGTGATGGATCTTTTCTTATTTGTAAATTTTGTTATTTACTGATGAAATTTTTTTATATAATGTTCATCTAGAGCTTCAAGGATCGGATATCGACCTCATGAGTCAAGTACCATGATTGCATTCCGCAATTTTGACCAGGAAATGAAACGCCCTGGGGTCTGGGAGTCAAATGAAGGTGTTCCATCTGCAGTAGATGCTCCACGTGATAATCTTGCCTCACTATACCGTCCTCCATATCATCTGATGTTTCATGGGTCATTTGAAAAGGTATATTGTTTCTTTTTTTTTTCTAATTCTGCTAATCTCCTCCTCTGGGCCAAAGAAAGAAAAGAGGTTAAAAGAAAAACGTGCTCTTAATTTTTTATCACTTCTCAATGGATAGGGTTCTGATTTATAAATTAAAGTAGCCAATATTTTGAAAATTCTTGTGCATACATTACTCTTAAATAAATATCTACTCTTTTTTTCTTCATTCTCTCTTTCACCATGATTTTTATTTGCAATATCTTGAGTGATGTTATTCCTTGGGATTTTTCACTCTTTCATAGCTTTTATCCATTTTCTTCTCATTGTAATGCAATATAGGGTAATTGTTTACAGGTTTAGTATCCTTCTCTAACTTTAAGATGATATGGATCATTTTCTTTGGGAAACAGACTCCTACATGTTGAACTTGTTTTCCCTAGCTTATTGATCATACTTATTAAAACTAGTCTCATGCTGGATATTGGAGAATTCCCCTTTTTTTCTTCTCTCAGCAATGGCTTTTTTATCCTTTTCTTGTTAGTTTGTTGGCTTTTCTTTTGGGGAATTTGATTAATTGAAAACTCTGTATTTGTTATTTCAGGCCAAATCTGCTGCTTCTCTTCAGGAGAAGTGGCTCCTTGTTAATCTGCAATCTACAAAGGAATTTAGCTCACATATGGTATCAATTCAGTTTTCCATTTTCTCCTTTGAGTTGAAAATGATTTTTCTTTGTCAAACTGATTATGTTTAAGACCTTAAGTGTGTGACCTTACTTATGGTGATATGTATGTTTTTAAAGCTAAATCGAGATACGTGGGCAAATGAAGCTGTTTCACAAACTATAGGCACAAACTTTATTTTCTGGCAGGTAATTCATTCTTTGTTGTTGTTGTTGTTGTTGTTTTTTTGTTTTCATCTTATTTTTACATCAATTTATCAAATTAATTGACTGCAATAATGCAGTGCTTAACATGCGGTTGCTTTGTTTGATGCTAGGTTTTCTTTCGTTGATTTTTCTTCTTCTTTCTTTAATCTTTTAATGAATGTTTTATTATGTATTATTCTTTTTGCTGAATATTTGATTTATTAGACATTCAATTGGAAATAGTTAGAATTCAAGATCAGATCGTCTAGATATCTTTGGCTTTGGCCAAGTTAACCATATCTTTTTGAAGTGAATTCCTAGCCTTCAATTTTGAAGTTCTTTGATCTAGACTATTCATATTTTTCTTAATTATGATTATTTAAAACATACATATTTTGCTTGAAAGTGAGGAGATTGTTATTTTGCTTCTTCATAATTTCATGGACTTGAGTGGAGATCTTTTAGTTGTTTATTCAGTTTAAGTTCTATATACTTCAAGCTGATTGAGAATAATCCACCAATGTAGGTCTATGATGATAGCAGCGAGGGTAGGAAAGTTTGTACCTACTACAAATTGGATTCAATTCCTGTAATTCTTGTCATCGATCCTATAACAGGACAGAGAATGCGCTCATGGTGTGGAATGGTTCAACCTGAAAGCTTATTGGAGGTATGTTAAAAATGCGTAGGGCATTTCCTTAGAAAGTTTCACATAATGAGTATACTTTTTGAGTCTCACAGGCTTCATATGTATATTTAATAACTAAGGGTTACATCTAAGATGTGCTTTTGCTGATTTAAGGGAGGATATTTATAAATTTGTAGGATTTAGTGCCCTTCATGGATGGTGGCCCCAGGGATCATCATGAAATGCTTTCTCATAAACGTCAGAAAGGAAACTCTTTGACCACTCAACAAAAAACTAAAGGTAAATTATGTGTTTAATTTCTTTTGTATTAAGCTTGTCTTGTCTTGTGTTTCCTTTAATATTGTTTGATCCCAATACTTTGATATCTTTCCATTTTCTGTTTCTGTCAACTAGATAACCGTTTGAGTTTATCTTTGTTGATCCAGACAATTTATGATAACCATTCCTTCTAGATGCTATATAGATGTATGCATCAACACTTGAGTTCTAATATATAATTTCAGTTGACACCTTGCCGACAGATGAAACTAACAAAGATGAGGTATCAAGTAGAACTGTCGTAGCTCCTACAGGGAGCATAAAAGACTCTACTAGGCCTTCAGGTGATGGAGAACTATGCAAAACTGAGGAGGAAACATTATCAACCAAGAAACCTACTTATCTGCCTCTCCCAGAAGAACCCAAGGGTGATAGAAACCTCCTTTGCAGGGTTGGGATCCGTCTTCCTGATGGGCAGAGGGTCCAGAGAAATTTCCTCCGCACTGACCCAATACAGGTAAGACTACTTTTGGGAACTTGTGTTATTCCATTTACTGTTAGTTGTTATCAGCTTGTTTGTGTCTGTGAGGGGTGGTGTTTGTATCATGTTAAAGCAGCAAGCAGTAAATATTCCTTATGCAGTTTTCTCACTTTGACGTTTCTGGTTTTGCAGCTGCTTTGGTCATTTTGCCAATCTCAACTAGGGGAGACTGAAGCAAAGGCATTTCGCTTGACACAACCAATTCCAGGAGCTTCTAAGTATCTTGATTATGATAGTAAGTTGACATTTGGGGAGTCTGGACTCGCCAACTCAATAATCTTAGTTACGTGGGAATGAATATCCATCACGTTGGCCACTCCAGTTTCTCATTTCTTCAAACACTAGAATCCAGCAATGAAGATTTTGGTTTTAAAGTCCTGTATCCTTTTTATTGTTGCCTTGCTGGTTAGGGAGTCTATTGAAGTGAATGAAGAGGGGATAAGAGACGGTTAATTTTATCATGTAAATACAATATATCTGTGGCCAACAATACAGTTGTGTTTTTTTGTTTTTTGAACACTGGTAACCTTTTAGATAGGGATGGGGAATATGCCACGGCAGTGGCTTGAATTGAAGCTGGCAACATCCAGTCTTCAGGAACATTCTGGCCACCGCTATAATGCGGCAAGTGCCAAACTGCCAGTCCCATGCAGTTGTGACTCGTGCATGCAAACACTTCCTTTTTCATATTCTTAGAACTATGTTCATGCTACATTTCCATGGATGAGGCATGCAGCTTTGAATGGTAAGTGGGGCGAGGAATAATGTAAGCCTTTTGCAGTAAACCCAGGCTCTACTGTGAAAGCATTACGTTAGAAAACACCATGATTAAGGACACCCCAAAACTTAGCAGGAGACATTCCATGTGCTTCTTTACCAATCCTCGAAACATGAATCATGGAGCTTAGTCGCATTGCACAAGGACGTTGCGTTGTCCGCAAGAAAATGACATTAAGTTGAAAGTACTATAAAATGTCAAACAAAGATATGACTAGACATTTTATAAACTAGAAAGTATTTAATAGGGAGAAAACCATGAAGACAAAATAAATGGAGAGAAATTACTACTGCGACTTAGACTGTATTGAGTCATCGTCTACAGTGAGAAATCACAAATATTTTGATTGTCGTCTCCGGCAGGTAATGTGGGGGTACGTTGTTGAAGTGAAAACGAGTCTTCTAGACGTGAAGCAAGGGGATGGAAAAAAAAAGGTTAAATTCCCATTTTGGTTCCTGAATTATTGTATGAACCCTCAATTTTGTCCTTGAACTAAAGAAATCTCTGATTTGGTCCCTAAACTATTGTACGAACCCCGATTTGGTCTCCACTGTTTATAATTTGACTTAAGTTGGTCCTTGAACTATTGTACAGACCCCTAATTTGGTTCTTATTGTTTACAATTTTGCCCCAATTTGGTCCCTAAGCTATTATTTAACAGAAAGACCAAGTTGGGGCTAAATTGGTAAACAGTATGGATTAAATTGAAGATCTGTATATAGTTTAGGGACTAATTTGGGGTCCGTACAATAATTTAGGGACCAACTCAGAATCTGCACAATAGTTTAAAGACCAAATTAGGGATTTCTTTAGTTTAAGGATCAAATCGGAGGTCTATATAATAGTTCAGGGACCAAAACAAGGGTTTAACCAAAAAAAAAACACAATTCATGATAATATTGGGTTGGAGAGGGTGTTTTTCGCCTTCGCGCGCACAGGTCCTGGGCCTACCCCCCCTGATGATAAATTATTTATTTATTTATTTATTTTGTTTATTTTGATGTTAGCCTGAACTTTAGGAATCTCAAACGAAAAGGGACTTAAAATTGAAAAAGTAGAATTTTTTTTCCCGTCTTTTCTTTCCCTTTCATCAAGGGCATAAACGAACATAAAAAGGAAATGAATGCTTTAATTTTAAACAAATATTAAATGCTAACTAAAAGATGGATTAATAGGCACATGACTACATGAGCCTCGTAATCTGGCTATAAGTCGACCTGTAAAGTATATCCCCCTAACTTTTAAGTTGAGATTCAAGTCCCTCATCTCTAAATTGTAAACTTGTTAAAAGAAAAAAAAGACTAATAGTTTAATAAAAATTGGATTCATTATTAAGTAAATATTGTCTTATAAATCATATTTATAGTTTAAATCTTAAGGGTAGTATTCAAAATATTAATTCATTTGGATATGCTACATCAATAGGTGGAGTGTGCTCAAAGAAGAATTAGTGTTGAAATAAATGAAAACTAAACTGAGTATAGCTCATTGTAAAAAATAAAAAGCTAACATATTTATTTATTTATTTATTTAGAACTAGTTCAATTGAGAGATGGAGAATGGGAATTGCTCAGGTTTGAATCCTAAATTTCTAGATCTCACCACTTTTTTTCAAAAGGGTTATAACCGGTTACAATAGTTGTTGACAACTAATACATTTATTAGTCCTCAATTTTATAGTGCCATTGGGAAAGTTTTCTTCATTTTTAAAATCAAACAATTAGGTCCATATCTCTTTAAGAATCCATTTTGTATATTAATTTCCTTGGACTGAAAAATTAAAATAAAGATATTTTTACCTCAACTAAGGCTGCATTTGAGATTTTTTGTATCGTGTTTTGACTATATTTTTTTAAAGTGTTATTGAAAAAAAGACTATAATTTTTCTATAGTGTTATTGGAAAAAAAATAATAGTTTAATAATTTTTTTTTAAAAAAATGATGTGTTTATGTGTAATTGATTAATTATTTTACATATAATCAAAGTGAAACTACATACAATGTCACATGATATTGAGTAAATAAAAATAAAACTTATTTTATTCATGTATTAATATTTCCTTCATTTTATTATATATAAGAAAATAATTCACATACAATATTATCTGATATCAAGTAAAAAAAAAATTAAAAAAAGGTGAGAAAATCTTATTAAATTTAAGGTTTTGCTAAAAAAAATCATAAGAAATCCATACAATTTATTATTTTATTTTTTTGAAGATTTTCCATTATGGATCCTACGTGGCTCCTTGGATTAAATGAATGGCCTTTTGCATCCAAGTCAACAGGATTGTGAATAAAATGACTGCAAAAACCAAATTTAAGAAAAAGGACAAGGACCTAATTGCTCGATTTCAAAGTTGAGGACAAAATTCCTTTGGAGCCTAAAATGTTGAGGTGTAAAGTAAAAGAGAAGATTGACAATGAACAGGAAGGAAACTCTGAGAAGCGTTGAGAAGAAAAAGTGATTTGGTTACTGCGAGGGAGGGGATTGGCATCGTTGAGTTCGAAGTTGTAACTCTCACTCCAAGTCTGAGTTCTTTCCCGTGTTTTGATTTTCTCGAGAAACTTCCATCATTCTTCATCGATTCCGCTGGAAGAAGAAAGAGATAGAGATCGTCTCGCCCTTTTTTTTTTTTGGTTCATTCGTTCATCAGATCTGCAACTCTTCCGGCGTCATAGAGAGAACGAGATCCACGATTCAAGTTTTTTAGGTATTTCTCCGTCTTTTCAATATCCTCTGTTGCTTTTCGTGGCTGCTCCGGCGGATTGAATGAGACTTCGTCGGGATGTAATCGATACTGATTTTGTAGGATGAATATATGTTTTTTTTTTTTTTATTGTGATTCAGCGAAGGCAACCGTTTAATTGATTCTGCGTGGATTTGTTTTGTTTTTTAATTAATTTATTGTGGTTAAGCAAATCTCAATCTTTGCATTGCAGATTAATCCATGGCGGAGGATAAAGAGATTTCCGACACAGAAAAGAAAGAATCAGATGTGGTGAAGAAGAAGAGGAAGGGCGGGGGCTTTTTCTCCCGTATCTGGAGTAGGCTTCACGGAGACGATTTGGAGAAGAGATTACAAAATATTTCTAAGGAAGAAGATGCTGTTCTTGCGAGAATGAAAAGGAGATCAGTAAGCTGGAGGAGAAACAGTAGAAATCTTATTGCATTCTCTGTCGTTTTTGAGGTACTCTTTCTTTTTTCATTCCATTGAAAATGATAAGTTCTAGTGTTTACGGTGATCGGAATGCATTGTATATCAGCTAGTGTAATGTTGGACTGGAATGTCAGAACCTTTCTTTTTCAGGATTTTCCTAAAATTGTTTCGATTTGCAGGTAATTGCGGTTGGTTTTGCCATTATGACAGCAAGATCAGCGCACATGGATTGGAAGATGAGGGCCTTTCGGATTTTGCCAATGTTTCTTTTGCCTGGTTTATCTGCAGCTGCTTATTCTGCTTTTGTTAGCTTCACAAGGCTGTGTCAGTGCATTTTTTAAGCTTCATGTTTTGGTTAGAGATCTGATTGTGCATGTTAAAATTTTTATGTATGTCATTACAAAATGGTTGGGGCATTGAATTACTATTAGTTTTGCTGCTTTTATGGTCTTTTTACATTAGTAACTACTTATTTCTGAATAGTGTTTGGGTGGCACATTGGGAAACATATTCAGCCGTGTGGAAAACAGCCTGGACATGTCACAGTTGTGGTCTCAGTAGATGTGGAACCGTTAGCCTTGGTTGGTTGTGTTTAGCAGCTTCCATTTGATATCTGAAAAAGTTCTTCACCAATAATTTCAATGAAATTGTGCATGAGATCTCATGACTGCTTTTATTTAGTGTGAACTCTTTTTCCAACACATTTTTTTATCATAATTCTATCTTGTAATTTGTTTACAATGGCAATTTGATGGTGCTCAATTTTTAAGTTATAGGCATGACCCTTTTAATTTAAATCCGTTTTCTAATGATTATTTACGCATGGAGGTCCAATCCTGTATGGTTCTTAGTAAATTTTAAATATATATACATCACACAGGTGATCGCAGAGACCAGAAAACCCTGGAAAGACTACGTGCTGAAAGGCAAGCAAAAATTGATGAACTTAAGGAGAAGACAAATTATTATACAACACAAAAGCTTATTCAGGTAATAACTAGAAACTAGCTATGGTTCCCATCTTTATTTGTTTAATTTGTCACCCCAAAGCTACGCTTAAACTTTGGCTTGTGAATTGATGTTATGAAAAGTGGGAGTGTGATGTATGAGCTTTGATATAGAACTATAGAAGTATGACCTTCTCCTTCAGGATGGAAGAGGAATGAACAATGATAAGACAATAGTAAATTTTGTTTGGTGAGAATGTGAGATCAGGTTAAGATGTTATCTCGTTTGTTTTCATAAAGCAATGAAAATGGTAGTCAAGTGTTACTAAGAAAGCATGTTAGGAGGAGAGAGATTTATCCTAAAAAAATAAACCCAGAGAAAGAGTAAGATGCTTTGGAAGCTTATTTTTCACAAGCTACTAGTTATCTAATGTAACAAAAGGAGTATTTAAGTTTTCCCTTTATTTTTCGCTTAACATGAAACACAGACTTTGTGCAGCATCTTTGCAACTGCAGTTTGAACTTGGTCAATCATTTTGATGCAGAGATACGATCCTGATCCTGCAGCCAAGGCTGCTGCTGCTACTGTCCTGGCATATAAACTGGGTGCAGACTCAGGCTTGAAAGTCCACTTAGAAGGTGAATCAAATCTTAATGTTTCAACAGGAAAGAGCAGTGATGTTGAGGTAACGCAATCTAGTGGTCTTCGAAATCGTACACAAATGCACAAAAGATCCAGTAGTGTGGGAAGTGCTTCATTGCCTCCATCAACTCATCATTCTAATGAAGAAACACCTCATTCTTCCAACAATGAGAGCCCTCAAGCTCCTGAGTATAATCAAGTAGTTGTTAACCATTTCAATCCTGAGGGATCTGGCATGAGTGGTGGGGGATGGCTTGCTCGAATTGCTGCCTTACTTGTGGGTGAGGATCCAACTCAGTCATACGCACTTATATGTGGCAACTGTCATAGGCACAATGGTGAGTGGGAACATTTTTGCAATTATGTTATCAACTAAAGAGCATCATTTATCCCATAATTACACCACATGCATGCAGTCATGCATGCTTAATTGAAATATGCTTTGGTGAAGAATAATAAACTTCGTTTCTTCAACTGTTGTCTACAGGACTTGTTAGGAAGGAGGATTTCCCATACATTACTTACTTCTGCCCCCACTGTCATGCCCTAAATAGGCCTAAACAATTGGAAGAAAATGTTTCTTGTTCTAGCTCCCCTAAATTGGACTCCTTGAAAGCAGGTGAAAATGTTGGTGTAACAGACAAACCCAGTGGTGGTACGAGTGACAGTGCACTGACAAACAATAGCCCTGTTAGCTCTAGTCCTGAGATTGAGGAAGTTTCTCAAACAGTACCTTCAGGGAATCAGGGCAGTTAAAATACAAAATCTTGAAAAGCTCTACGATTGTGACGAGATGTTTTCTTTGTCAACTCCCAACTGGTTACCTATGAATACTGCTCTTGGTCGGGAGATTTGTACTAGTTTTGCTGTTTGGCTCTGATGAGAAATTGTTGCAGTTTCTTACCTAGGAACTTTGTGATTTTATCAGCGAACTATGTGATTATATATACATCTGAACAGTCTCCATGTTTAATGAAAAGCAAACCATATAGTTTGTACCTACAATGCACGCACTCTCCTTTTAATCCATGTCTAATTTTCTAGACGACTGTAGTAAATTATTAGTAGTGACGTGATTGAAACTGTTCACCTTCCAAAAACAGTCTTGAATCTATGCCAAATTGATGTAAGGTTTGATACTTTTTGACCTTTTTTGGATGCATTCGGTGATTCATGGCCGCCTTCATTGATTTTTGCAGAGAAAGAGAAGAAAGTCTGAGGATTATGAATTATAAAATAGGAAAATAGTTCTCTACTTCCTAAACTCTTCCTCTTCCCTGTCCTCCCCACCTAACCCAACGGTTTAGACACTTTCAGTTTCAAATAAAAGCATAATGTACCTTCCTTTTTCAAGGGCATGCTTGCCCGGGGGGGAAACCGAAGTCAGGCCGAAGAACTTTCTTAAAAAGTGGTTTTGATTTTCAAAAAGCTTAAACTACATTAATTTGTAATTTCTTTTATACCATCTAAATTTCTAAATTTGGTAAATTTTATAAAATCAAATATTTTTGTAATTATTTTACCTAAATGAATCGTAATTTTTATTTTATAATTGTTTTACAAATTTTAAAACAATGTTTTTTTTTTTTTTGAAATTATGAACTCCCCGAGTCCGTATGCATCTATTTGGGCCTGGCTGGACCACTCTTTCTTCTTTATCGGTTAACCAACAGAACCACCAGCCCAGCCCAAAACCAATACCCCTTCCCCTTCCTTGTCGCCTATAACGGCTAGTTAGACGTTTTACACGACATTCCCCAGACATTCCCGCTTCCTTGATCGGAGCATCGATCTCCGGCTAGGCTTTGCGATCGGAGCAGAATCAAGCTGATACCATTGATAACAGATGAGATCTGATCATGCTGGTAGCATCTTTTAAGGAGTTTCTCTGCATTTTTCCCGTTACTACTACTTAGGGTTTTGTTTTGCTTTGGATCTTACCTCTGTGACTTTGAACGCTCAATAGAGATTTTAGGTTTTCGCATTTAGGAATCACGACAAGATTCTATTAGTTGATGAGACGGCAGCCGAGTTCCTTGTTCTACTGGTGCGTTCACTGCCAAAGACAAGGCTGCTGCTACTCACTTGAAGGTCTGTTTCCTGCTTTCTCTTGTTCTTAGTTGTTGTCTTTCGTTTGTTATTATTTTGCCTTCTGATATGTGATTGGCCTTTTTCCCAATGAAATTAGATTTCTCATATTCATCATTATGATTACTATATTCCGAAGAAATTGAGCTTTCCTGAGTGAAAGTACTTTTGCTTTATTGTGCCAGAATGTCAACTGTCCTTTAAAAAAAATTTACATGAATTTTCTCTGTCTACTTTGAACATTCCCTAAGTGCCCTGCAGATTGTATTTTTTTAATTGTGCGGTTGTTTAATTGAAAAAAAAATTATTTTTGATCTAGGATTGCGATTGACTGGGCTTTTAAGAATTTATAAGCTCTACCTAGCGCAATTCAATGTGGTCCTCTTTTGTTTCTTCTCAATTCATCTTATAAGCTTTACTATCTTTATGTTGTTAGCATCATTGTTAAGAGTTTCTGGTAGTTCTAACTTTTTTACTCTTTTTTCATGGTCGTTTGTGTCTGCTGAAGTCTTCTATGATTGAATCCCTCAATTGCAACTTCTGCTCTGTTTGCCTGGTCGAAAACTTTTTGCCATATTGAGTGACTCTGTGTAATTTGTTGTATTCTTGATGATATAAGTCCTGGGTTGCTTCCTACAAGGCAACTTAGTTAAGATATATAATTGATTGGGACTATGACATAAGAACATGACATTTTTCTTAAGCAACCAAAGATAAGGGAAAAGCAGAAATTGGGCCCTAAAAGTTGTTTGCTTACAAAAGCCATGTCATTTGGTTAACATTTCTTTTTATGATGTTTTAGCTTTATTGTTGAGTTACAAGTTTTATGGAGTGTATAATATAGATGGATCCCACAGCAGAAAAAGGAACTTTAGTCATTTACTTCTGATTTTTGCTTTAAGTATATGCCAAAACCAAATATGGTGAACTCTGCGAAAGCCAATTTTTTTTTTCCCTTTTTCGGGAAAAGCAAACTGAAAAGGGCTTGATTTGATTACATAGTGATCTATTGTTTTGAGATGCTGCAACTTGTAATGCCTATGGGCTATGACAGCCAATTTTTCGAATTCAACTGAACTACCCAAAATATCTTTCACATTCTTTCCTCATTAGTAGATCCGGTGGCTTGTTTATCACACTAAATTCATCAGTTTCTACAAGATTATAAAGTAAGAACAAGAATTTCAGAAACTTAACCAATGAGATTTTATTTGTTTTTCAAGAAATAACTGATTTAAGAACAATAATCATGTCAGAAGGTTTTTTTGCATGAATATGTTTGACTAAGAGAGAAAAGTTTGGATTTTTATTAAGATTCAAAGAAAATTGCTTTTTGTTACCGAATGGGTTGTCAGATGGAAGAGTCTTATGATGTCCTAGTAGTCCCTTGCCTAAAGAGGCGAATAAAGTATACGCAAGGAGATGAAAAAAAAAAAGGAATCTGAACTGAATGGCAAATTGGAAACATTAGCCAGTGAAAGATTGGAGAGAAGTTGAGGCTTCAAAACATGCATAAGAGGGTGTGTGTGTCTTCTGGCTGTGTGAGGAGAGAAGGAAGATAATGTGGGATACATGTGTGTCAGTGGAGAGGCGTTATCTCTTTTCAGACCTTTTTGCTTAAGATCTCTTTTGGTTTAAATTTTAAAATTTGTCAAGTTTTGAAAAGGAAAAGGTTGTTTTTCAACATTTCTTTTCTTTTATCTTTTGCCCATGTCTAAGATTCTTAAATAGTGAAATTGTTGTTAAAGGTTTTTGATATTATAAAACTCTTTCTTGATTTTACCATGAATGTCACTAGCCTTGTAATGGATAGAGATCTGAATTTTAAATTGTCCAATATGCCTTGTGCTTCTGCATGTGCACTTTAAATGTCAATTTCTCTATGCATCATTATTTGTATGAAATGCTTAAAATCTTGTCATGCCAAAGTGCTTCCATAGGGTAAAATTGTGTGTATGATTCTGGTTGGTATATCTGGAGAGAATTTCTTGAGGTAGATCTGGATTCAAAGGCATGTGTATCTTGCCATGTTTTTTTACGTTAGATCCTTTGATTAGAGAATTCCTGTTGAGTAATGTATTAGAGACAGATGAGTATGTAAGGAGTGTCTTCTTATGTTGAAGGAAATGTTGGATCTCAACTTTAGTTCTACTATTTAAAGTGATTGAAGAATGCTTAGATTTGTAAAGGAACTTGTCATCCAGGTTTTAGTGTGGTGTGATTCAAAGTTGGTAAAGTAGTAGCATAGCCGTCCCAATTACTAAAGAATGTATTGTTGAGTCTCAAGCAGAGTATTGGTTGGATTAGGAGCCTATTACCCAAGCTGAAACAGTGAGCAACTGCTCCAACCCCAAACCAAAGCACTGTATTCACAAAAGAAACAGTCAAGAGTTAGTGTTTCCTGATTCAGTTTAGTTTTATCTGTAAGAGTTTAAGGGGATTTCTGTCATCATTGATGAGTACCACTGGTCTAGATTATAAGCCAAGAAGATATTTTTTTTGTATCTTTTCAAAATTGAATAGCTCAAAAGATGGTTTAGTTCTATTAGGGGTAGGTTGTGTGCTCTGTTGAAGTTGGAAATTAATGTTTCTAGGTCAAAGCAAAACATCCAAACCTTGGAACATAAGTGAGAGCTTCTGTGTGTTGAATTATAAGGGGTAGCACGCACTTTAGTGTAGCTTTTATTCTTGGACTAAAAATCGGAACTTATAGATGGCAGTTATTTCAAGAGCTTTTGTCTTGGATTCAAGGGCAGTTCAGATATTCCTTGGCTTTCAATTAGTTCACTTACATTTATAGCTATACAATTGGGTATCATTATAGCTCTTCACGGATCTAAAATGTGTCGTACAAGGTTTCTAGGTTCCAAGATAGGATAACATGATGAACATTTGAAAATTGCTAAATTTAAATCACTAAAATAGCCATGCTGGTCTCTGTAGTTGAAACTTGGTGTTTTAGGTGTGCTAAGTGTTTAACATGTTTTAATTAGGACTATGGTACCACCAGGTTTTGTTAAAAAGAAAAAAAAAAAAGAAAAAAAGAAAAAAAGAAGTAAACTCAGAACTCGTAGGCAATGGGTTTAGGAAGTTTTTGGTTGTAGTAAAATTCGTTATATATTATAGGTTTTGATTGATGGTTTGAGATTGAGAATTGGCAAGTTTGGATTTGTGGAGTCTAGCATCAGGACCATTGCTAGGAAAATGTCCAGTC